CCCCCCCCTCCCCGAGTTATCCTCCAGTGGCAGGGGGGGTCTGACACTGTTTCCTCTGCAGAGCGTGCGGGACCCCTCGGGAGCCTCCATCGCCCTCTTCACGGCCAAGCTGCACCACCCCAGCAAGAGCGTGCAGCACGTGGTGCTCCAGGCGCTCTTCTACCTGCTGGACCGAGCGGTGGAGAGGTGAGACTGTGTCTTACACAGCCCGGGGGTGAGGGGAGATGCTGCTGCTTGCTGGGGGCTTGGTGAACCCTCTCCAAAAGGCTTTGCTGGGAAAGGATGTGCCACCTCTCCCATGAATGTGAATCCCTGGGTCCATGTGCCTCTGCGTATCCCATCTATAGTTAGGGGAAAGAAGGAGTCACAGCATCCTGTGTCTTCCCCTTGGTTGAACTCAAGGCAGGCATCCCCATGGGTGAACAAAGCCCCCTGAGCCCTGAAGCGGGCTCTTTACAGCCTTTTCCTGCCCACATCTAGGTTTCAGTTTAGCAAAGCCCCTGATTCCTGCAGGCTTTGGCTGGGAAGCCGCAGCCCCACCACCAGTAATGTGAGCCCTGCCAAAAATACAATGCCAGGATGTCCCATTTATCCTGCTGGGCTCTTTCTGGTTTTGAACATACCCATCACGGGTGGTGCAGCTGAGGCTCAAGGCACAAGCCAGGCTTAAATAAGGGTTCCAGGAAGAGGTGGTGGAGCAGCTGGGAAACACCAAAGTGAGCGTTGGGTCCTGGAAGCACAAAGGGATTTTTTTGGATGAGCAAGCAGAGGGTAGGGTTAGAACTGCACATGCAGGAGCCGAGCAGCTGGATGTGATGGGGCTGACATTGCTCTTTGCCCTCTCTCAGCTTTGAAACGCAGAGGAACGGGCTGGTGTTCATCTACGACATGGCGGGCTCGCAGTACACCAACTTCGAGCTGGACCTCAGCAAGAAGATCCTCAACCTGCTCAAGGTTAACGGCGGGGGTTGACCTGGTGTCCGGGGACGGCTTGCTCACCGAGCATGTGGAGTGCTGTGGGTTTGGTGTGGGTTCCCACCCTGGACCACGCTGACCACATCCCGGCTGAGGAGCGCCGGCCCCATAGGGGCTCAGGAAGGCGCTGGGAGCCGGACCGGGCTGGGCTGTGGTGTCCCATGGCTGGGAGGGCTCGGCTGTCCCGGCTGGAATTCCTCTCGCAGCTGCTGGCAGCGCTGTTGGGAAAACAGATGCAAATTATTCTCCAGTCGTGCTGGCATTTGGTGCCTCCTCCCTTCGCTGGAAGGAAGAAATAACAGCAAACACTGGCTGGGGCGTGTGCTCCCCCGCAAAGCCAAACCCTCTGCCCGCCTCATTCCGAGGAAATCATTTGATTTCCTATGGGAAAAAGGCATGCTTCAGATGTGTGAATTGCCACTTCGGGGTCCCCTTCGTCACCGCCTCTGCTGGGACGTGTCCCCACACGCTGGCAGGACGTGTCCCCAGACGCTGGCAGGTGATGAAGAGGGGCTGGTTCCTGCCCTGCAGCGTGGCTCTGACCTCCCCCTGCCCGCAGGGAGCCTTCCCGGCTCGGCTCAAGAAGGTTTTCATCGTGGGAGCACCCATGTGGTTCCGTGTGCCCTACTCCATCATCAGCCTGCTGCTCAAGGAGAAGCTGCGGGAGCGGGTGAGCACGGGGACCCTCAGTGGGGAGGGCTGATGAAGAGGGGCTGGTTCCTGCCCTGCAGCGTGGCTCTGACCTCCCCCTGCCCGCAGGGAGCCTTCCCGGCTCGGCTCAAGAAGGTTTTCATCGTGGGAGCACCCATGTGGTTCCGTGTGCCCTACTCCATCATCAGCCTGCTGCTCAAGGAGAAGCTGCGGGAGCGGGTGAGCACGGGGACCCTCAGTGGGGAGGGCTGGGGCTGGTTTCCTTTTGGGACAGGATGGTATAAGCAGCTTGTGCCCCTCGGCCCAATCCGCTGAGCCCAAATCCATGGGAAACAGAGGCTTCCTCAGCTGCCTCCTTGGGAGCAAACCTGCTTTGGTATCTTCAGCAAGTAGCTTGCACTGCTTTGGAAATAGCTTTTGGTTTCTTCCTTTGAGGGGAGGCTGCCAGCAGCAGCAAGTGGAGGCAATGGTAAAGGATTAAAGGGAAGGCAAGCCTCTACTGAGCACGCAGGAGAAAAGGGAAGCTTCAATACCTGTGCTCAGGCCCTACCTGGCAAAGCCAAACCCACCTAAACCAGCACCCTCAGCATCAGCGGTGCTGGTAGAGCCCATCTCCAGCCTCATGTCTCCCTGGGCTGGACTTCATCCCTCTGCTTTGGGTAGGAGCTTGGAAATGTGGAGCTGGGTGTCGGTGTTCACTCCAGTCCTGGGAACATGAAGATCCACTGGGGAAGAAGGGGGAAAGACCCCAATGCTGTTTGGGAAAACTCCGTGCTCCATGGGGACCACTCCAGACTGTTGACATCACTGTCCCCATCCCCAGCAGACCCTCTCCATCCCTCTTGGAGTCACCCCATCCCTTCCTCCTCCTACCGCAGGTGCAGATGGTGAAGATGTCGGAGCTGAAGGAGCACCTGCCCCGGGAATGCCTCCCTGAGTACCTCGGGGGGTA